TCCCTTCAAGGAGAATGTGGGATCCCAAGCCAACACCTACCATACCCCACTTGCCACTCCACGAAGAGCTAAGCTTGCAGGAGATACAGTCCGGGGATACGTCAAGGCAGAAGTTGCTTTTCTGCTCCCCATGGATCGTGTTACGGTGGCTTTCAACAGGCCGGGCAGTCCCTGGTCCACCCGGTCTGCAGTTGCAGTGAACGAGCTGCGCCCTTTCAGGCTTGGCCACAATGCCACTTACCAGAAACTCCACCAAAGACGTGCTGGAATCTTCTGGGACAACGGGAGGAGGGAGATTCCCACATTCAGTGGCAGGGTGGTACATTGGGACGGAAGCCAGTGGCAGCAAACCCCTCCGACTGCAGGCCAGCCCCACGCGTGGGGATTTAATGGCAGCAAAGGTATGAAGAGAGAAACTGTAGAGGTGTGCAGCATACAGCCAAAGTCACCAAGCAAATAACCCCTTTTCGGTTCTGTTAATGAAAAATAATAAGCAGCTGAAGACATCTTTAGATAGAGCACTGGAGAAAAATATATGCTGTTATTTCATTTTCCAAATTAATTTGCCTGGAGAAGCAGCGACCTGCCTTAAGACAAATGCCAGCATCAACGCCATTTCCAAAGCGGTGTCCCTTCTATGATGCAGTGCAAAACCGAATTTATTAATAAAACTCGTTTCAAGTCCCTGATGGTCTTGCGAATTTGGTGACAACTTTGATCACTTCACTAATTCCAGGAGTTTAATTAAAGTTGGGTGCAAGTACAAATAGGGACTGCATGTAAGTTACCACAAACCTTTGTGATTCTAAGACTGACTGTAATAAACTAAGCCCTTGTCAGGAAAGGCTTGGTTTTGTATATCTAAACTTGGAGGAAGTTCCCGCTCCATCTTGCATGCTGGAGTTTTTCTGCATAGTAAGTAAGGCTCAGCTCAAACATTCAGCCCAATGGAAGCATCTTCATCCTGAAAACTGAGACATCTAGGAAGTTTTTTAATCCCCTGGTGAGATAAAAAAAAAATGTACCTGGAGGTAATTGGCTACAACAGTGCCAGGGAAGCACCTTAAAGCTGATGCTGTGGGGGTTGGCTTCCTGCTGTTTTTCGTGGAAACCTGTGCCCCACTCCTTGCTCGAGAGAGCGGAAATGCAGGCAAGCATCTGGGTAGCCCACACCAGGGGCTATCTGGAGGCTCAGCCCATCAGGTGCATCACACCTGCACGGCAGGAAGCTCCTCGCTTCAGCAGCAGAGACCACTTGCTCCTGGACACAAGGCAGGGATTGAGTGAAGCCACAGAGCTGCCTGGAGCCCTGGGCTCATGGCCAGCCCATTCCAGCACCAGCTTTCCTCAAAGCAGGGGGCTGGGGAGGGTCTCCTGGGCTGCCACAGCCCCTCTCGGACTACTGCCTGGCCAACAGAAGATAAGCCCAGCCAGAAGTTCACAAATCACTACTCAGTCCACCCAACTGTGCTTGCTCCTGATGGCTCTTTCTGAAATCTTTTTAGCAACAAACAAAAACCTTCATCTTTTAGGTGACACACTGTTCACGCAGAGTCATGGGCTAACATAGAACAGAATCACAGAATGCTTTGGGTTGGAAGGGGCCTTTAGAGGTCACCCAGTCCAACCCGCCAACAATGAGCAGGGACATCTTCAGATGGATCAGGTTGCTCAGAGCCCCGTCCAGCCTGGCCTTGAATGTTTCCAGGGATGGGGCCTCCACCACCTCCCTGGGCAACTCGTACCAGTCTTTCACCACCCTCATTGTAAAGAATTTCTTCCTCATACATACCTTTAGAGCTAAACACAGCTATTCCTTCACTCCTGAAGGGGTCTATAAGAAATCCATATTTTGTCAGTACTTAAGATTATTCTTTTCAGTGTACCACACATTACTATCATTTCTGAGGCATAAGATACTAAAAATACAGATAAAAGCCTGAGGTCCCCTTCGCACCAAGGTTGGAAGCATCTTGGCAGCCTATGAGGGTGCAGAAGGAAATGCTGGGAGAGGCATTTGTCACTTGTCAAAGGAGACAACGCTGAGATGCCCAAAATACTCTCTCATTAACGTATTAAGGAGACCCCGAGGGGAGAGCACCAGCATCCTGGCATCAGACCACTACCTTGGAAAACGAGTCTTCTGTCTTACTGGAGAGAGCGGCATCCGAGTGATGTGTTGGTACACACAAGTTTCTGACGTAAGTTTTGTAGACCTAAAATTCACTAAACGCTGCTGAAAGACCAAGCGAGGGTGAAAGACATCCTGCCTGCACCTGGAGCCCAGAAAAAAGAATGTAAATGGCATTTTCCCCACTTTAACAAACCTTTCAAGCAACAGAAGGCTGACTGGAACTTCTGTAGAGCAGGAGAGCAGCCTGCAGCTACAGGACTTTCAGGATTTATTTATTTTAAACCTCATCAACTCCTGCTGCTGGACAATTAGGATATTTATAACACCGCTAAGGAGGTACAGTTTCAATACAGTGGCATTTTGGGGGAGGCGGTATATATTTATATGGAAACGTGTCAAATATGAAGTACTTGTATCTTACCTGAGAATGATTCCCTGAAAAACCAACTTATGCTTTTAAAGGTCAATACAATTACATATTACTTTAATCTTAATGCTAAAGGAAGAGAGAAAAAGCATATTTATGACATCGACACTTCAGCAAGAGAACTTTGTATTGATGTCCAGTTACATGGTCCGCCCAGCTTTTGGACCTATATAAAAAAAAAAACCAACATGAATCTCATACATGCGTCAGCCGGGCGTGACCCCCATCCACAGCTACATCAGAATAAACCAAGCCATAGGCATCTAGCTTAACAGTATCAGACTACTGACCTAGTACGCACCGCACAGCGGTATCATGACGTTGACTTGTAGCGAAACACCTCAAGGCGCTCAGCAGATCTTGTTCTCGCCACCTACAGTAAAAGGTGCCCCAAACCTGAAGGAATGGGGACTGTCAAGCGCCCTACGGAGCGGTAGGGTACCTTGTGTTTTCCACTTCGAGGACACGCGGTGTGGACATTCCAGAAGGAGCGCCACCTCGAGATCAAAGACCAGAAGACAGCCAGCGCCTCTCCCTCTCCAGCAAGCTTCAGTCCCCTTGTCCAGGCCATCTCGCACTGGCTTAGATTTGAGAAGGGAACCTCACTGGACCACACATCACTACAGTTCACTCTGGGAGAGTTTTCTGTACCTGCGACCCTCAAATTATGCTGTACTACAACGTTTTCTAGTCAAATAATTTAATATCCAATTTATCCAAGTAAGGAAGGCACTTGTTTTGTTTTTCACTAAGCCGTGGTGAAAAAAGGTCACTGCTTTATTCCGCATCATAGTTACATAACAGTTGTCTGTTTCTATTACTAGAAAGAATTTATTAAAATAGTCCTGAAAGACATCTTTTCTTTCTCCAATGATTTCAAAACTATGCCTTTTAATGCCAATTCCACACAGTCACGGGGTTGGTCGGCAGTCGTCAGTTATAGCCATTGTCAAGGCACAAGCTCAGCTCTGCACACCGGCTGCAGCTTGCATTGAAAAAAAGAGATATGCCAGTCACCTCTTCACTTAAAAACGCATAATCCCTTTATCGTATATTGCAACAGGAGAAATTAACATTAAACACAGACTACGAAAGGTAAAGGATTTATTTCTGATATGATTTGTAGAGTTAAATTAAAAAAACTACTGAATACTGTATGTAGTAGATGAACATAACCTTAGCAGTTACTTTCTAACAGTTTATTTAATGGTTGGAAGTGTACAACATGAAGTAGGCCTTACGTTTAATATTGTTCAATTTTGCTTATTGTTAGATGAGATTAAAATACAGTAGCCATCCCTTTAGATTATGTTGCAACACTGATCATGTGCCTTGATAAGTAGGAACAACGATTCATTAAATAAATGGTGATGACATAACATGTAGGGAAGACTTTGGATTGTCTATTTAAAATGTCAACATAATAGGCAATTAAGAATAAAACTTCATTTTAAGTGCACTTCCACATGCTTTGTTTATAATATAGCAAAAACTTCCCATCTTTTTTTTTTTCCAAACACTTCACTCCCTACTCTAAAGCTGTTCAGCTGAAAATGCACTTTCCCCAGTAAACTTCTTTTTAAAAAAAGTAACTAAAACTTCTACCCTTTCATATGCTAAGAAATGTTTCCTAATTAAAAACACAGTTTATTACAAGACGTGTGAAGACAACATATAGTGAAATGAATTTTAATTGTTGTGCTGTGACTAAAGTAAAGTTCTCAAGGCTGCAGTTTAACATTCCAAGTTCTCCCTTCCATCTTTATTGATTCTTAAGATTTTGCACAGAAACTCTTTGGGGGCTAGAACAGCAGTAATTGCATCACACTGTTTTCCAAGACTTCAAGTTTCAAAAGCAAACTCTTCAAAAAGTACAGTTCTTGATTTGATTAGATACAGGGACAAAAATATAGCACATACTTGAAGGTTACATGGTCTACAAATGATGGCAATATTTTCCTTGGGAGAGTACAGTTTGTTTTCTTGTAAATACTCAAAAAGGCTCAACTTCAAGCAGTAATAAACACAAGCAAAAGTGATTTAACCCTTAAAATAAATATTCAGGAAAACCTCTCTGTACATACAAGTGAAAGAATATGTAACACTTTCACGCTAAAAGAAAAAATAAAGATTTTGTTCATATAAGCAGCTGAAATCTGCTGTTCCAGCCCAATGTCCCCAGTAAAGAAGGGAGGCACAAACACAGGTGACTACTGTAGCTCACTATCTTATGGCCTTTTTGGACAGGGACATCACCACCATCATTTTTTTAATCCCTTTTGTTATATTTATTACAGCATGCCAAATCCTTTGGCATATGTGATGGCCTTCAATAATCTTTCTTTAAGCTTTTCTTTGCTTGAGTACTCCGGAAGCAAAAGTACATTAAAGCATGTGTGAGATGTAGGTAACCTGTGGGGAAAACAAAGAAAAAAAAAAAAAAAGAAGGATTCAGATCTGGGAACATGCAGTACACGCACAGAAATAGATCTCTATTTCACAAATCCAAAATAATTCATTTAAAGAGAATCTACTTTGCCGAAAGATCCAACTTTCAGATTTAACTAAGTTAAGAAATTAAAAGCACAGAACTCGCTTCCGTTTTATAAACAATTTTTTGAAAAAAAGAATTTTTTTACCTCTCTGTATCTGGGCCATTTTTGGCTATGATCATCTTTAACTTTCCAAGTCCTCCCACAGGGGCTCTGTCTGTGCCTGTTGTAAACTGTAAGAAGAGTCTTTTCTGTTCATCTGTAAATGAATGGACTATTTCCCAGAATTCCCTATCAAGGAAGAAATGAAAAAGTAAGTAAACTGAAAACTTCCTTTGGTATAAATGAGACTTTCAAAAGTAACTGAACTTGGAAGATTTAGTACTTTAACCTTTCTTAAATTCAGTTTACAAGTTGCATTCATAAAACCAAAACTAACAGTAACGTATTTACCAATCGCTGAGAATCAAAAGTAAAAATCAGAAATATTACCGAAACACTGCAGTTTAACTGTTTTTAAATGCTAATTCAGATCGTAAGTGCTCTGCAGATACTCCTCTTTTTTACTACTCCGATTTCCTACGGAATTATACTGGTTGCACTACACTGTCCATTTCTACCACCTTCTCAAACACCACATTAAGCAAACGCAGCTGCTGTCAAAGCCTTTCTACCCTAGCAGGAACGAGTTAAGTAGCTGGCTAAGTCTAGAGGACCAAAGATGCAAACTTCTCTGACCCTTGTCTTCAGAGTTCTCTAGTCAAAGGGGTCAAGAAGGTAAAAACATTAAAAACATTTTCCCTCTTAAAAACATTGAATTTACTTGATTTCTAGTTAGAGAAGAAAGTTCTACATATGCAACCTATGCAACCTATTCAGACAATTCAATGTTTGTGAATTTTAATTTTTATTTTTTTTTTTTAAACAACAACAGAGCAGTGGTCGTTTATTGAAACAGCCCTGTTTATACTGGGGATTAGTGAACTATATGGTATAAGAGAAAGGCAAAAATCCAGGGAAAAATCCCTCTTAACCTTTACCATAGTTCACTGGAAGCTAAAGACAATGCTGATATTACCTGCTTTTTTCCAATGAGAGTAGTACATGAAGCGTAATGATACATAAGACACTAGCATCTCCAGTACTACAAAAATACTAAAATTTACAATATTAAATTCATTATGAAGAAACAGGCATGTAAAATGCTTTTAACCTTTCAGAAATTAGAAAAAAATTACCTAATAATAACAGAGTCTCTTGTATAGCCACCATCATATTCTGTAGTTTCTTCTAGTGCTTGAAAATCTAAATTCTGTAAGAAGATGACATTTTTAAAAATAACCACTGATTATATACTTTGGATCAAAAAAGCTCCACTTTTTCTGGTGTAAATTCAGGATTCTTACCCTACTTCCACAAATAAGTAATTCAATTTCCTCTGGTCTAAATAAATATTTCAAAGGAGATTCATTGGTCACCATGTGGAATCCTCTCCGAAAGGCCTTGAACTGCTTTTCTACTGATTTATTGAGGATATAGTCAGCATACAGATTGACAAACTCCTGTAAGGAAACAATCCCCCAAAAAAACCTTAGTACTTTGACATGTGCCACTTGAAGTATCTCCCCAAAATACATTTAACTCTGTGATTCTATGCAGATTATCTGGGCTCAGCTTCTACTCAGCAGTAACAAAGAGCAAGTCTCAAATATTTCTCAAACGGGTCAAACACCACACCCAGAAGCTATGTAAGCATATATCAATGCTTACTTTAAGAGAGAAGCCTTTTCGGCTTAAAATTACATTGTGTATGGCAATTTTAAAAGGCTTTTAATTATGTGAGAACAAACTTTTATAGAGTCCTACAAAATTCTGCAGTGAGTATCTAAAAATTATGGATTGTGTTAAAAAGTATCATTTGAGTGTACCTTTCTATTTTCATTCGTAATAGGAATTTTATCACCGTTTTCCTTTAAATCATGCATCATTGGATTGCCAAAGAGATCCGTATGAGATATTTGAAATGTGATCATCATATCGTCTTCCACACTTCCTTCATACTCTAGTAAGTCTCTCAAACTCTGGTAAAGAACCTAATAGAATAAGAAATATGTGGCTGTCATAAATAAGTTTCAATAGATTTCACCGAGTAATACCAGAAGACATGAAATTGTCTGCCTGAAAGAGGGCTGTTAGATCCTATGACAGAAGTCACCTACCATCTCCCGTAACAGTCCAAACAGGTATATTAAGCTCAGTGTTTGTAAAAACAACCAACAGCAGATATTAAGGAAAGACAAAAAAGAAACATGGCAATGACTGGTAACTCCCTCAGAAGAGCCTACCAGTACCCAGGAATCTTCCTAAATGTAACGGTCAGACCTGTAGCTTAGGAGCCACTGATCACCTCTTCCTCTTTTAACTCTTTTGAAACTGCATTTACTTTTGGCATCCAGGACATGTTACACTAGTAAGTTGAACATATCTGTGTTAAAATCAAATAAAATGCTATATTTTATATCAGATTAATTCAGGCAGCAGGCTTTTTATCTCCTACAGCTTGATTTAAAACCCAAACAAACTAGGAAGTAATCTTGAAGCAACACAGATGGGGAAGTCATTAAGTTAAGAAAACATTTATGCACAATCACAAGTTAGGTCAGAATTTGCCAAGTGGAATCTGAAATTACCTGTAAGAGTTTGCTCTGTACAAAAGAGCAACCGGCCTTCTTCCCTGCTACGCCTTAGGAAAATCCCAAGACCCTCTTGGAAAGAAAAGGCTATGCAGAAAGGAACAATTCTTTGGCCGAGTCAGAGGAGCAGGACTCAAGAATGCAGAGTGAAGGTAAAAGCAACAACTGAGCACGACTATATTTTTTGAAGTGAAGTAGAAGTAATAAATTCCCCTCAATGTTTTAATTATTCAAAGCTTACATGTAAACCTCATCCCCTAACTATCTGTATCCTTTTGATTCTTTAAAAATCTCTTGCATTGAAAATGACTGGACTTGGAACCATTGGTGGTCAGGGCTGGTGAACACCCTGTCCTCCATGCTCTACAGCATTAGCAAAAGCTAATGGGAGACTTGACTACTCCAAATTTCATTTTTGATTTGAGAAGCTCTGAAGTAAGTGTTTAAGTCATATTAGAATACAAAGAGTTTTAAAAGGGTTATTTTAAAAGAAGTCAGTGTAGGTCTCAGAGGAGAAACATAAGTGTTGGGGAGAAAAATTAAGAAATGCCCTGTCTTGTTCCACAGAAATAAATCCACTTTTTCTGTCATAAAAAATTGTGAGTAATAAAAATTACAGGAAACTGGGAGCACTGTGTATTTCTCAACATTATTTTACAGAGACGCTGGTCAAAGCTGGCAGGCTGGATAACCTTTTTTTTTTTTTGATTACACATGCCTCATTTTCCGATTAAACAAAACCAAAAGGCAAGCTCTTTTTAAATAGCATCACTTTATTCATCTTTTTTGAATAGTGAAGATTTTGTGTAACTGCTTATGAAAAGGGAAATGTCCCACCATCTGAAGTGAAATGAAGCATACTAATAACTCATACTAGCCAGCATGATGGAAAGCTACTGGTGATCTTTGGTTGAAAACAGAGCAGGGCCAAGAAGCCCTGCATACGTGCTTCTATGCTCTATCTACTAAAGCATGCCAGCAGCTTGGTGGTTTGTTTGCTATAGACAAAAACCAGTATGAGCATCGCACCTTTGCATGTCTACCATTGCTTTCACATAGTACTGCAAACCTTCCTCCTACTTCTATATATAACAGCCTAATTTTAGAAGTCTCTTTGGGAAGATACTATTAATAATAGTTTATGCTTAATAGTGCTTAGTAATATTAAGCAGTTTAGGCAGCATGCAAAAAAATAGAGCAAAGCTTTATTGATAACCAGCCCTATTTGTTGACTTGACAATTCTGCCTCCTCCAAATCAGATGTAGTAAGAGGTTTTACTGCTTATGAATTTATTTTAACACACACAGACTCTTCGCACAAGTCACTGGTTATTTCACTTCCACTTCTGACTGACTGTGATCAAGTTACTGCATGGAAAATGCATTAATGAACTCAAAGAACATAATGAACTTACAGGATGAGAGTCTGCCAGATCACGGAAAGTTCCTTTTTTGCCCATTAGCTTCCTGTAGACAACCATGGGAAAATGTACATCCAGTATACAGTTATTGTAAATAGCCAGACCCAGTACTATGCCAATCAGTGTAAACTGACCCTCAGTTTCAAAAGAGGACGGATTAAACCAAAACAGTTTTGTAGATTCATCATATGTGAACATCCCTGTAAAAAACATGATGTTGAACAATTATGGTTACATTTCAATAAAAATGACACATAAAACATACCATTATAAACCCATTTACATTACAATGCCTCTAAAACATGTTTAACTTAACATTATGCTGAATTTAGTGACAAAGATAAGCTACTTACCTTACGGTAATTGGAGTTACTCAAAATACTGTTACTCACATGACCACTAAAAGCATGCAGGAGACCTGAGATACAACATCCTGCAAGGCCCACCTTGCAACCTTTCGTCCCCTTCTGTTACTGAGGAAGCAGCAGCACATTGCCAACATAGATTGATAGTAACTTTTGTACAAGTAAACACAATCGAAAACCACGTGGATAAAACAGTCCTGAAGAACTCCAGTTACTACAAAGTGATCACCTTTCCTCAAAGGCTTTTCCAGGCCAGTTCCAGCAAAGGAATGGGGCTAGGTGCAGCCCTATTACTGAATTGGAAGCTACAATGATGGAGCTGGGATTAACCACCACATGTAAACTTAAGAGTTAAATGCCTAAGAGGGTTTTTTTTGTTTGTTTGTTTAAAGGTACTCAACAAGGTCCACTGAGTTGCTGCAGCTATCATATACATCCTAACTTGAGGGGAAAATGTAACACGGGAGTATCATTTCACAGGAGGGGCTGCAATTTTAACAGGCTGTAACTGTTGAAAAGGAGATATTTTCTTTGTTCCCCTATGCCTCCTTCATCTGATTCAGCTGACTGTTTCAGGTGACCAATTTCCTGCCAAGTTCACAAGCTGCCTACCTTCACAGAAGGCTTCAAGCAGCTGAACTGGCACACACTAGGAGAGGGAGGGAGCGGACAGAACTGTACAGACAAGAGAAGGGCAAAGAGCTCCTTACCCTTTTGGCTGTAGCAACCCACTAGATTAGCTCGTTTATGAAACCAGTTTGTGTACAGGCTATAAACTATTTAAATGAGTGCCACGGTAAAATCGATTGCTTACCTGACTAGATGCTGAGAAGCAAGATAAATGCAAACCCCATAGACTTAAGGGGAGGGAGAGAGGCTACCCTGCACAAGTATAGTCCCAGTGACCTGTTGCTGGTACAGCTAAGTCCCATGATTTCCAGGCAGAACCTAAGGAAAAGAGCCCAGGCTCCTTCCTCCTCACACACCAGAAGTTCAATGCATGTGGTCAAGAACACGAGTTACATTTGCCACAAGGATCTACCTTGTCAGCTCTTAAAAGGTATGCTTATTCACAACCTATGGAGATGTACAAATTGATTACAAAGCCACACAAACAAAGTCACAAAATGACTCCTAAGACTGAAAGTAAGATGCCACTTTCAGCCAAGAGATAAAGCCTGAATTCTCATTCAATGTAAGGAAACAAACTGCGAACTTGTTCAGAGACTCTGGCTAGTCCCCCAAATTGAAGATTATTTATCTCAGTAAGGCAGTAGGACAGGGTCAGCTATTAGGGGAGCACACAAGTAACAGACTAACACATCAGGTAAAGCAACTGGAAATCAGAAATGCGTGAGCAACACAAGCATATATATAGGAGAAGCATTAAATAGAAGCCTGCATTCCATTTTCTGAATTGACTGAAGTAACTTCAGGATTACTGGCACCATAAAAGCAATGACTTGTACTTTCTGGGAGATGATAGAAGAGTTAAACAGTCAAAACAAACAACTCTAGCAAATGTCTAATAATGAAGGACTAACAGTTTACCCAGATCCACATCTGGAAACACTTTAATGCATAATGCAACATTTTATTCACTGACCAAAATTAAGACTATAGTACATCAAAATCATAATAAAACACCAGAAGAAACTGGAAGCTACCATAAGGGGAAAACAATTGAATAGCGTTGCTAGGAATATTACATGAAGTTATTCCTTCTTCCCTTTTACCATGGTGACTGTTGGTCATAAATCTAATATTCTGCCTGAGTTATTGCCTCCTTTGAGTAAAACTTCAAGGTAGTTTAATATGAAGACACTTGAAATGTAATGGCAAAGAAACTATTACAGCAATAAACATCACTCCACACGTACCTATCAGAGGACATTTTAAATTTCATTTAAAGGATTTCCTTCATTTTCTCTGGTAAATAAAGTATCTACAAATCAACTAAAGTCACGCTTGGTGACATTATGGTGTGTAAACTGCTATACTGCAGTGCGTATTAATAAGTGCAAAAGAAAAGACAACTGTGAAAGCAAGGTACATTTTCTGCTTTTACACATTTGTGCCAAAAGCCAATAAATGCCTTTTTTTCCAAAGTTGATATGAATAAAAAAAGTGTACTTTTAAAAAATTTTATATACAGAAGTAAAATTTAAAACATGCATGCATATCTAATCTATTACCCATCTTTATACACAGGGAGCATATATATCCTGGCTGGATCTTAGCTGAATCAGATTTCAATTGCTAAATAGGTGTATTTCAATATAAGCATCCCACACAACTTCTGTTTAGATAAACTCAGGTCAAAAATGTATTTTGGATTGGAAATGCAACTTCATCAGTCAAAGTACTAAGACTTCCTTGTTTTGCCATACTCTAATTTATTGCAAATAACCTTGCTAAATCAGGTTCCAAATCTCTCCAAGTTAATAGCAGTTTTCAGAGTGAGTAAGACTTGTCTGCAGATCTATATCACTTATTACAAGAACTGGCTTGCGTACAGTGCAGAGCAAGTGCCAAGGTTCAGATTCTGTTACCAATTCTGGGGACTTCCTCTTTAACCCAGTCAAAATGAATTTCTGCGTTTCTTCAGTTTTCTAAGCTACAAACCCAAGAACAACGGTTTTCTTTTGTAAAAGAGTTTGGTGAACCCAAACTAAATAATGGCCATAAGCTGGTGAGCTTCTTTATAATGGAAGCCATTACAGGAACTACAACGTGACATCGTATTTCACATAAACTATGAAATTAGTATAGGAACCTGGTAGGTCTCATTTCTATTCTAAGACAAAGATTCCTAACATTTTAAAGCATTTTAATCTCTTCAGAGCAGCAGACAAGCTGCATATTAAAAGCAGCACACCCTTGCATGTATAAAAACGGAAGCATAAAAGACTGGTGCAGGGAGCAAAGTGAAAAACAGTAAGATGGAAATGTGACTGTTAAAACAAATACGAAACTTTGACTCCAATACATCAAATTACTCTTAGTTCTTAACTAACTACAATCAAATTTGACATTACTGCCACACTAGATCTGTACCCCTTTCAGATGAAATCGTTAGGAGAACTGAGACTATCAGATTTTTTAAGCTGGAGGAAGGGGAGGAAATAACTCGAAAACTCACCATAGTCCTACTCTGGTTTTATTGCAGAAGCTCTTCCTCTTTGGTTTGATTACTAATTCTAGAAGCTAATCACAAAGCAAAGCGAGGAGAAAGGTGAGAGAACAAATAAAGGAACCCTGCAAAGAAACCCTGTACTACTGATTTATATCTAAGCAAGCAATGGCAGCTTTCACTAACTATACACAGTTATTCCTTTCATCATTCCTCCTTAGGGGATGACTGATGATGAAATACTGAGCCTCAATGGGTCAAATACTCTCATGATCACCAAGAAACCTGGACAGCTTCAAAGAGAAGCAGCAGCAGATGTAGAAAGGCATTACATAAACACAGAAGGGCCCAGGTTGGCAGGAACCTTGAAAATTCATCTGGTCCAACCTTTCACGGGAAAAATCTCATAAACTAGTACATTATTAGAACACATACCAATATCTGGATTGAAGATTTCTTCCACGACCAGTTGAAAAAATTCTTTGGAAACACCTCCTTCATCTACCCCTTGCTCTCCTTCAAATTCAACATACAATTGCTTCTTCAAGTCTGCAGGATTTTCCATGGCAATCATCTCTAGCTATTGAGTGAAAAGACAGAAGCATTTAATTAGTAAATCTGTTTATTAGAAGACTCAATTGAACATCAAATAATGAAATCAAAACTACCCTCCAAACCTAAGAAGAAAGCAAGTATAAATGACAACAGTAAAATATCAGAAACCAATAGTAACACTAAATCACTCTAAGCACATACTAGAATTTGGGGATTAACACAGCAAGAAACTTACCACAGATCTGATCTGTTAGCCAATTAAGTCTGTTAGCCTTCTCCATTTCTATTCTTTTAAGCACTTATTTTAAATAAGTTAGCATTGTGCTGCACAAAATTCACAGAAAACAATATGAAAACAAGATGTATTACTGGGATAAATTCATCCAACAATGAAGAGAGACTGCAATCTGATCTACATGCTTGACAATGGATGGTTTTGTGAAGGGATTACACAGATATGTTTTCAGAACCTTCATGTGATAATTTACAGTGGGAAACAGAAGACAAGCCTTTGACTAGTAGCTGCATCTCACAAACAAAGAGCTGAGGGGAAAAAAAAAAGAAATAAAAAGACACTTATATTACAGTCAAATCAATCCCCTTTCCTCTTGACTCTAATGAAGAAGTCTCAGAAATCTCTTGCTGCTCTTTATTCAGTGCCTTTAAACAGATTTACTGCATTGCTTCCATGAAAGTGAGAATTCAGTTAAGGTCAAATAGAAATTGTGACTATCATAGGAAAGGATTTCATGTCTATTTCTTCCAACAAAAATGCATTCTTTCAGTAAATCAAGTTATACAAGAATACTTTGCAGCTGATAAGAAATATGAGGCTTAAAAGCATAAACACATTGCTTAAACCTGTGCAGCGTGATTACTGCTGTTGAGTTTTCTTTGCCATGTAGGTATGTTTAGTGTACAGTAAGGCACAGATGGACCTGTACATTCCTCTGCCAAGACTGTAATACTGGTGAGATTCGCCTCTAATCCTGCTATTGCAAACTGTATTTACCAGCAGGTGCCCTTCACAGGCCAAATCATTTCTTTTTATTTCTCTACCCCACCCTATCCCCACACACATATGCCAACACATCGTTTACATCCCAGAATTTTACTACAGAAGTATAAAGGAAAACAGGAACAGAAGAGAGGTGATAGGGCGGCAGTAACGACACCACCAACTCATGACACCACCAGTAAGATACATTTTCTCCCAGTAACCGCCAAGCCAGCCAGCCATGTTGCAAGCAGCACAGCAGGGGAAGATGAGTGCTTAGCATAACGGATTTGAAGACTTTGAAGCTCCTCATGCAAAAGGAGCATGTGGGGAAAGAACTGCACTAACTGGTATTGAAAACTACTGTCAGGAAGAGGAAGAGTAACTCCATAGCATATAAAGCTCAGTTAAAAAAAAAAAATGGGGGTAAGCCAGAAGACCCCAAGAACAAGAGCAAGTGAAATCAGCTCCATAGCATATAAAGCTCAGTTAAAAAAAAAATAAAAAAATGGGGGTAAGCCAGAAGACCCCAAGACTAAGAGCAAGTGAATTCACATTAGCAGACTGAGATGTACATTAAATAACTAAATTTTCCACATAATCTTGTAATGTACCACCTAAAGCATTCTGTCCATTTGGTATTCTATCGCATGTAATTTGCAATAAACTATTTTTGCCCCCAAGGAGACCAAGTAACATTTCTTCTTTGAAATTAACTGTATTTTATCAATAACACTTCTGCAGCAAAACCATGTTGCAGTTCAGCCCTCATTGGTATTCTCATCACACGCTTCCCATAACAGTGTCATTTTGCACCCTGCCTTTCATATCAATCTTAAAATTATGCCATCTTACAGACATGTAAAAAAATTTTGTTCCTGAATAGGAGGGATAATGGAGCTTAAGCCATGTTCCAAATACAACTGAGACTTTTTAAAACCAGAGAAGCAGCATTTATTTAAAGACCGTAAGTACAGGTTATACATTCAAGCTGGACAGACAGATGTTCTCCTATTTGAAACCTTTCTGCTTGCAACTGGCATTAATAACAACTTTGGGTGTTTCTCCCCAGTCATGACTTTGTTGGCTTTGTAATATTGACCACCAGCAATTTATTGTGCAAGTTCTATGAATTTTGATGAGTTCTGAGAAAGCAAGCATTACCTCTGCATTTCTTTTGGGACAGCAACTCTTTGTCATAGTGTAAAGGCTCTCTTGTATCATAGAAATACATTTATATTAAGGAGAGTGCTCATATTTAAACATATAAAGCAATTAAAAGCTACTTAAAAATATTTTTTTTTGGCTGAGAACTACACTGCAATGAGTGATGTAAAAGAAAAGCAGTATTAAAAGAGGGGAAGGAAACACTTAGTTGAGCAGTGCCAGCTGGGCAGATTGGACCGCTGTGCTGATGTCTGCAAGCGAGTCAGATAAAGGATTACCAAAAAGCCAGTATTTTGAGTCAAAGCCTAACGTTCCTTGAAGTAGCTTCTATAGCCAGGACAATGTTGCTGAAAGCTGCTCAACTAAAGGTTGTGAATTTAGCTGCTCCTTTGAACATCCACATCTTTCAACACTGACGCTTCACAAGAAAACTGGAACTCAGTGGGAAACGCAGCAGTAGCCACAATAGTAGAGGCGCACTGAATTTTAGCAGAACTGCAGCAGTGTTTCTATAGCAAGAAAGTCTGAACTTTAAACAGAAGTTGTTTGGTTTTAATTTTTTTAAACAATCATAGCTACCCCAATTGTGTCACCACAGATGCTGCTAGCTAAACCCAAGCCACGCTTGTGTGTGAATTCTCAAAGTTTCGGAAGCCAATGTGTTTTCTGTCATGCTGGTTTGACTGGCCAAGCAGTTGAAGTCATCATTACATTTTCCAGGGAATTCCCAGAAAGCTTGCGTGTAGCATGTCTAAAACAGTAGCATCAAAAACTGAGTATCTATCTACAAATTGAAAAACTGAAAGCTGAGGCATGATGTTATAAAGAATATCTGTATTTTGTTGTCTTAAACATGATATTGTGCCACAGGATAAGAGACTGTATGATTTACTTTGCTTACAGAAAAACACTGCGCTTTACTGAGAGACTGGAATCATCAACTGGGTGACAGAAATACGACAACATTTGAAAACTTAACATTACACCAGAGTTTGGTTACCTTCTTAAAACTGGTACTATTTGAAATAATCTTGATTCATTTAAAAATTATCAAAACAACCCACAAGTTCTAGCAATGTAACATGAAAGTTCTCTTTAAGGCAGTGGCAGGAATACTTTCCATGCTAGAAGGCAAGAATGACACGAACACAACTAATTTAAGTTGGAAAGTATCAGTGACACAACGTGACATAAGTCGGTCACTACATTTTCTGCAAAACTGCATGTGAAATAACACTTAAGTGACTAAGAAGCATCCTCTCAAGCTGCACTTTACTGTTCACGCATACGTCACCAGTCAGACATATTCTGCATGCAACCAAGGCACACTAGTGCTGAGATTTTCAACTGAGCATACATCAACATCGACTTAGGCTAAGAGAACCTCAAAGCTCCTGGAGTACATTGTTGCTAGTATACTATGAGAGAATCTGCCTACTGGCTTCAGTTGTCATGTAAGAGTTTTTGCTCATCAATATATTTAGCAGAGTCATTTACAAGCAGGAGAGGCTTGCTGTGTGCCCGCCATCTACATTCAATGTGAAATTTGTCAAAGCGAGTTTCTAACTTGTGAGCAAGTACCAGCCAGACACTGCTGAAGGAATCCACCACATTTTCACTTGCAGAACTTGTGTGTCATAACTCATGCCCTTTAAATTACTGCTACCTGAGAATAAATCCACATACAATCTGTGCAAAAAAAAAAGTAAACTCAAAGGAAGGGGATGAAAGAAATAGCTGTTGGGGAATGAAAAGGCAGAAGAGGGGATTTAAGGATAAACTTCCTTTCATTACTACCACATTCAGGTAACATGACTCAGCAGGAGCACAGTTAACATCTCAAAAGAAACCTGTTAGACAAAAAAGCAAAAATACCCACCTGTTTTCAAGAACTGCAAACTCAGCTACCAACTCCCAGGTGTAAGGGTTCTTTAATAGAAGTGGGGACTAGCACCTTACTATTTGCAATCCCACCTCCCCCAGTGACTTTTCAGACTAGCATACATAGAAGTAAGTATACAGGAAGTATATAATACAAAGAAAGCATGTTCATGAAGTCCCATTTCAATAAAAAAAAATGAAAAATAAGTTTCTGATGCAAGCTTCATACATGCAAAGAAATCAAATAATGAATGTGTAAACAAATATTTGCTTAGATATTTGTTCCAGGGTGAACTATGATTCTCTTAATAAGTGGCTTTAAACAAGTTACTGCTTCAAAGGTATTTAAAAAGGTATTGCTTCAAATTCTCAGTAAAAGGAAAAAATCCTACAGTAATTTAAAAAAAAAAAAGAAAAATCACTTACCAGGGATCATATTGGTTTTAATGAAGTCCAGAAAGTGAGGTGTACATAATGAATTCTAAAAGTTTAAATATTAAATATTGATAAGAGAACAACAGCTTGGTGATAACTTAATTACCTCGACTAATTAGCAGAGAAAAACCCGTACTTAGTCCATTTTCAAAAAGAAATGATGAAGGCTGATCAATATATTTGCTTGAAAAATATCCAGCATCAATAAGGAAGATACGAGTAAGACCATCTCAACCTAATTTTAATCAATATTTTTGATTTTTTTTTTATTATGAAATTTCATATAAAGTCAAAAAAGTCTGCAGTGGTTGTTCTGTAAAGACCCCGGTCTAGTAACATCAGTATGTAATTACTTACAATTTGAACAAGTCTAAGTATCGAAACCCCAGAAGTAAAAAGTGCAATGCAAGGGTAAAGATATCGGAAATCATAATTACTTACCTGTAATTTAAGCATGTTTGGAAACATCTTCTCACTGAACAGACCTAAGAATACACTTTTACTATTGAAGATTATTATCTTGGCAAGAATCTTCCTGATAGTTTTCACTGAAACCCTTCCAAAGTTCAATACTGCATCCAAAACTGCAATCCTCTCTGAAGCAAACTCCTACAACGTAGCTGTCACTTAGGTTTGATGCTGTCAGTGCTACTGCAGAAGCACATGGTACCCATCTTTGACCTGCAGTTCCAACTTTGACTATAATCAGAGATAGGGCAAGTCACTTCAAGGATTAGGACATAAACTTGAAGATCTTCATCCAGACCAACTACAGGCCAATTAGGAAGTGGAAAAAAAATTGTGAAATTTACTGAGAAAAAAAATAAATCACTTCTCAATCAGTTACAGGAAGTAACTGTGAAACCACAGCAGGCAATTCTTAAATAGATCAGGCACCCACTGAAGAAAGTGCAAGATGACAGCATGGAACAGTATTTTCCCTACGATGCTTTTTCCAGCTACCAGCAGACTTGCAGCTTAGCTGATTCATGAGGTTGGTGTGTGGGTCACATGAAAACGCCTGTAATGCCCATTAGCTTTTGATGGATCTTTCATAAACAGCTACGAGTTCTGGGCAATGACACCCATAATTTTAAGGTACACTGTCTGGAAAAAAAAAAAAAGTCCTTTTGCTTATGTTAAGCCTGCTTCCTGATAACACGTCTGGGTGTTACCAGTTGAGAAAAAACAGTATTTCCCCTTCAACTTCTCTATGCCATCTTTTATGTCCTCTCAGTCACCTTTTTGCCATTAAGAGGACTGACAATATTTCTGAAGAGGCTCTGAGCTTTCCAAATGTATTCCTGTTGCATCTTTTTTTGATATTAAAATGAGAAGAAAAAAAATGAAAAAAAAGAGACATAGGCACACTACAGTAAACAGAGACATTGGATTGTTTCATTTGCTCCTTTAGCTTCTAACACTTCCTCAGGAATATATTAAATCTCTTCCTTGAACAGTGATACTTCATATCGTCAGTTAATTAAAAGGTGACCTTTGTACATACATTTATCAACACAATTTTCTCTAAGTCCCCATCATCTCACAACAGGTACTTTGTTGCTGTTTGAAATGGCACATACAGCTCCCTTCCTCTAGCTAGGATGGTGAGCCTTCATTCATTTCCATTTTACCAAATACAATCTATTTTCCACTTTCAAGAAATATCTGGGCTGCACTTGCTTTTGTTGACTAACATTACAGTTCAGCTCAGACTGCTTGAATTTAGAACAATTTTATCTTCTTAATTTTCTGTCCCAGAATAAACAGTTTAAAATTCTTACTCTCCTTGGGGCTTTGACAGAGTCAGATCACCATAATTTAGCATGTTCTGACAGCTTAAATTAACAGCCATAAGAGGATCCATGGCAACTGCCCAGGCATGTACTCATAGGCTGCTAGGCTGTGCAAGGGCTGCTGCAAGTGCATCACAATTTAAATTAGTATGTTTGAGCTTGATCTGATTTGAACTACCCGAATTTCCAACAGACGAAGAGTGTGCACAGCAATGGGTGCTGTGGCCCTGTTGTGATACAGTAGCTGCACCGACCTGATGTTGCCCCTGAGCTTTCTAAGCAACACCAAACAGATTTCTTGTCCTCAAGGATTTCAACTTCCTTCCACAACAAGCAACATGTGGAAGAACACCTTTTCTCATACTTACAGATTCTCCTTCCCATCGTCAGTATGAGGAAGGTCTGCTTCCTCTCTGCTGGAACTGACATTAAAATGAACATCTGCCTAGAACTAGCTCTTACCCTCTTTTTGCACATCCTCTCCTAAAGACATAGTACCATCTCTCCCTTTTTTCCAGTATTTATGTATCCCAAAGCTGAACAGAGCTTTGGAAATGTAAACAAACTCCATTACAATAGTGTGACAATTCTATCCAGTTACATTAGCTTTGGAAATGTAAACAAACTCCATTACAATAATGTGACAAAATGTAACTGGATAGAATTGTAAGTCTGATAGGTAATAAAATTACAAAGAGTATTCTTATATTAGAAAACTGGTACACACTAGGGTTTAATCTCAAAACACTGTATTTCTCATCTAATATAATAACTGGGTTTACAGACAGAAGCCATTGCAATTTTATTTTTCCTACTTGAAGACAAACATTTTCCCTGAGAAGTCATAATACCAGCAGTTCCCATGAAGTAGCTAACCAACTGGAAATTCAGAGGTACACAGAAAAGTCAAGGTGGGAGCTCATTTAGGGCTCTCACAATTGACCTTCAGTAGCAGTTAAAGAGGTCAAATTAAACTAGAAGTAACAGCTGGGTTGATAGGCAAAAATAGGTACTTTTTCCAGAGTCCCTCCAAATACCCATCTGGGTCTTCAGCAACAAGCTTTAAAGCCATGATTAAATTTGAAATTTTGCAAACATTGTTGTGCTTTAGTAACAGAACACAGAAAAATGAGCTTCTGAAAAATAACAGCTTTAAGCAAAAAATAAAAGGAGGAAGAGTCCTAAAATTAAAGGATGTATTTATGAAAAAGCCTATTGTGAAATATTCTTTATAGTTTCTATCCTCTGTAATTCCCATCTTCCAAAAAATGTGTGAAGAACTGGCTTCAAGTTTTACTTTAAGAAGCCAGCATGTTCAGAAACAGGCTGGTCTCACAGTTCTCCAGTACTAAGAGGCCTTACTTCTCCTTTCTCAGTCATACCAGTATTTGCACCAAATTGCACCAATGTTCAGAGAAGCGAGAAGTTCTACTTATCATGCAGTCACTGCACACATTTTATACCTAGAGGTTCAGAAGTCCACATGAAGAGTGTACAACTGAAAGGCTTTAATTCCAACTTCCATCTGAAAAACCCTACCATCATAAGATGACCCAAGACAGTCCAGAGGACAAACGTAAAGTACTGAAACAGAAGTTGGTCACTCTTACCATTAAGAGCTGTAACATCACAAAATCTGTTAATGGGGAATAAGAACTATTTGACACATCAAAACATGTAAGTCTGTAATCACTCTTGAGTAGAAGTGGTTCTGCTGAACATACAAATCTTCAGCAGCATGCTTATAATTCAAACTCAGTACGGTAAAGCTATCTGAGTTTCTTCTAGAGGAAACCTAGTATACAAAACACTGCACTAAACAGTCCTTTTCAGTTAGTCAAAACCCATGTAGTTTGCACTAATCAGAACCAACAAATCTAAGTTCCATGTTGCTGCGTGACTTACCCGGACGAGCGCATCATCTATGATGTGATCACGTCTCACTTTAAGTCGCAAATACGGGTTGAGCTGCTGTCCTTGAACTAAGCTGTAGAGCACAGTTATACGTCTTTCACTGTACATCCGGATTCTATTGTCATAATACAAACCCAGGTTCTTGGTAACAGCATTCAATATGAAGGGACAGGTCATAAAAGAGAATTTATTTTCTGTTTCTACTTTGAAGAAAGTGTAGTCTTTGTCCATTTCTAGAACATCATTCAGTGGTTCATTAATAAATTCTTCAAAAGGGATAAGTGGTTTTCTGCAATCTATAGTTTTTACACCAAGTTCAGTTTCCAGTGGGTCCACTCGAGGACCTTTTTTATTTCTTCTTTCCTCACCCAACAGCTCTTGAAGAGTTAGTTCACTTGATTCTGGGATGGGTTCTTCATCTTCCTCTTCATTATGATCTGTATCCACATCCCCTCCTACTACATTTGCATAGTAAACCATTTTCAAGCACTTTGAAGCAGCAACAACAGCATCATCATCATTCACTAGGTTACGACTATTGAACTCATTGCTTATGACTTTGTAAGTAATAAGCTGCTGAAACGTTTCCATCATTCTCCGAATTTGGTCTGCTCTGTACTTAGACCATAATCTGACCAGTTTTGCTTGAGCTGCAAGGGGTAGTTTGCTCATTGCTTTGCAAAACAATGGTAAAGCCATTTCCAGATATTCTGGGCTATGAAGATTGCCATTCTCCATAACGATAATAAACAAATTCAGATAGTTAGGATCCCGAGAGTACACATTATGGTAAGTCAAGTCACATTCCACGTTAGGTGACAAGTACACAAGTGCATTTAAAAAGGCAGTTTCTATTTTTTCATTAGAAAGTAATCTATCGTAGACCCGTCTGACTGCTTCAATATCTACAGACACTTCATCCGGGCCTAGTTTTTGGAGGTTATTATCTCCCTGTGTGTTATCACCTATTCTTGACGACGAAGACGACGATGCGCCTGAATCTTCTTCCATAGCAGCAGCTGAACAGGCAGCTTTTTCCTTTTCATCTTCATCTTTGTCTTCATCCTTTCCTTGAAGAGACTTGAGCTCCTCCTTGGTGTGCTGCTTGGCTTTTCGGAAACTCTGTACCAATGCTTCAGCACTAGAAAACACTCTCCCAATCACACGGATTAAAGGGGAATAATCCTCTTTCTCTCGACATAGTTCAAGAATTTCATATATCTTGTCTTCTGTTAGAAAAGTCACATCTATAAAAAGACAAAATATTAATTTTAATATGACAAAAAGAAAAATATAAAATACATCTCATTTACTCTACTCAAGGAATCTGTATCATATCATTAACACTGGAAAACACAGTACCAGTGCTGGATAAACTCAAGACAGATACTTTATCATTTCATTAGTATGAAGAAACACTATTCACTATGATTTTATAAAATACTTTATTCATGGATGCTAATCAGAGAACACGCTCAATAGTACAACTGTTTTGCAGCCAATTAGCTGCATTTGGTAGTTAACAGTATTTCTGTTAACTACCAAATGCTCTTAAACAAGAGCAACTATATCAATCAGCAAGATGTTTAAACTTTAGAAGACTTAATGAATAAAACTGTGTGACAATACAGTCTTCTGGTAAATCTGCACAGTTTAGTTTGTGACATGCATTAACCGTATCAACCTCTCTTTCAAACACAGCACATGTGTATGGACTTCACATACACCTTCTCCCTTAAAAACACATCTTTAAAAAAAGATTCAGTAATTTGTTTTGTTGCATATCGATGGGAATATAAGAGTTCTTATTTATATTTTTAATGCTTTCTGCAACTGCTTTTATGCTAAACTGATGCCTGAAAATCATCCCAAAAACCCAAATACATGCTCAGAAATTTATGCTGCCTTTTAAGTTACATACACTGTTGGGCATGTAGGTTATTTCTTTGTACATTAGGCCACACTCTCTCACAGAGATAAACAGCTTTAGTATCATCATCAACACGCTATTCAGATGAACAACCTGGTTTACACTCATCATCTGCATGTGCTCCCAAATACCTGCCTGTTCCCCCTCCACCACAAAAGCCCCTGATACAAAATCAGTCATTTGGTGGTCCATTTGTTATCTTCCTTTTTCTTTAGGAAAGAGAAGGAGAAAACATTATTTATAGTTTCCTAGCTACTTCTTAAACAGAACCCACAGGTGCTTTCACATCAAACGATGATTTAGAGTAGGATTACCACATGATCAGACCCTGAAAAGATGGTCTTGTTTAAGCAGATTCTTCTGAACTGACACATTTTAGAACTAAAACTGAATCTGTTTAATAGCATCTCTAGATAGCTAAAAAACACAAGTCACAGCACTGTATTCACCAACCATGCCAGAAAAACTACCTGTGCAGAAGGAAGAAAGCGTATCATTTTAATAAAGACAGTTAAAGTATTTTGAAATATGATTGCCTACACCAACATTCATTCCAAGCAGTCATTAAATTAAAAATACAACCTCAGTGATGCAAAGATAGACAACCTATTGATTTTTGCAGAGGCCCAAGACATTCTTAGAGCACATATAACACAGGAAAGGTTAAGCTTATGTCATGCTACTGAGATTGACTTCTGACCAAGCTGAAGACAGTGAAAAAGCTTAAAAACTACAGTGTCCTGTTAAAAACAACAGCACTGAAAAATATTATGAAAGGATTCAAGCTTAGTGCAATATCTATTTTTATCTGTTGCCCTGCATACTCAAGAAGCAAACTTGCCTGAAAGATATTTAACTGCTGGTATAGATACTGTTCCATGCCATAGCTCCTCAAAATGAGGACCGTAGCCTCAAGTTCACTGACTCTAGATTGCAGAAGTTATTCACAGTATAAAAATTATCAGCAAAGTTGACAATTTAACAATACAACATATTTCAGATTTCCATACTCACAACAGGAATTTCCCAGTCATCATTTTTACAAGTTTTAGTATTTAAGGAACAAACCATGTGCTATTTCCAGTTAAAGTATTTAGTATTACCATCAGCAGTTTTATTAACAGTTTCAAGTCATATCCTGTGACCATCCTTTAACTCAGCTGCCATAACTGTCTGCCCCATTTTTACTTTACAACAGTAAGAACAACTGTAAGAACAACTGGAGAAAAACAAACATAGGTGAAGCTTTCTAACTCAAGTCAATTTTACGGGACTTGTGTCTGAGTACGTGAGCTTTTACATGGCTTCTCCTCTCACCTTTCTGTCGTGACCATGTTATCCAGTGAAGTAAAAATACCTCCTCTCAGACCTTGTTCTTAGTAATACTCCATGACAAATCTGTACATGAAGTCAAGCTTTAACAGTGGTCCTTGACTGTGAAAAAGACTGCATGTGATCTATGTATTGCCAACACCACACTCCCAAATTAGCAAATTTATTATTTAGCTTTTCATTACTTCTTATGGAAACTTTGTTATGATTGTGTGCTCACTGCCCGTCCACTGACCTTCTCTGTTCCCAGTTTAATGTTTTGGTGATCAAAGTTGGAAATAGCTTCCCAGGTAACTATAATACTGATTTTGAAATGGCTGTGTCTATATATGACTACATTTGTAAGCCATGCTTTAAACATACTTGCAATTTCTCTATTCCCTTCCTCTTTTTGGACTGCCATCTAAGATATTACTGAGATACTGACAACGGTGTCCAGATACATTTTTTCCCCCAATAGTCTTAGGGCGCAGCACTACAGAAAAGTAATTTAAATGATTCTTTCTGAAGGGCATTTCTTCCAGTTTATTTAGAACTTTCAATCTTATGTCAAGCATAAAAGTAAGCTGCACATCCTTTTCCTTGGCTTTCTTAAAAACTTAACTGCAGTTTCCCAGTAACTGTTGCTGCAGATGGACCTTAAAAAAAAAAATTCAGAGCACTAGATTCCTTAGACATCATCCAATTCCAAAGGTAACTAAGAGTCTCACATGGGCTTTAAGAATGGATTAATGCTCTGTCCATACAGCTACAAATACAGGTCAATACTTGTGATGCTGCAACAGATGAAGTCAGAAGACAGAAGAGTCATTGCTTTAGACAACAGACTGTCTCTAGAGATAGATATCTAAGAGTCTTCTCAACCTGTCTTGGGGAGAGAGGACAGTAGGGTCATGGAGAAGGATGAAGGTCCTGTATGTGCATACCTCCATTAAAAAGACAGAAAACTACAAGACAAATCATAAAACAGACCTAATGTGCCTCTTGCCCATCTAACACTACACTGGTTCCCCTCTCCACTCCCTACTGTTTGCCCCTTTGCTTACTCAGCTCGTAAATAACTGGGGGACAAGTTTATCCTTGCATCAGATAAAGAACAAGCTGATGCAGGTATTGACTGAAGCATCTCAGGTCCCTTGTAACAGTGCTATGTTTTATTGCTGATTCTGTAAGCCTTTTTAATTCTTCGCTGTGAAGAGTTTCACCTTCTTTAGCTAAACGAATAAATCAACTTCTGTGTTTATATACCACTTACTGCAATGATACTTAAAGGTCTGCTCAAAGGTTAATGGCTTTAATTTCATGTAGCTTGTGATTTCTGTTTGCACTACAGGTTTTGATTACAACTAAAATTATTCTTGTACTATGTATTTACTATTCTAGAGAGTTTGAATAACTAAACAGAAGTCAAAAAAAGACACACTGATCAGTAATTAATTTTTGTACACTGTCTTAGAAATCGCTTTGCTTAAACTTTTTTTACCTTGGTAGATGTATCACCTATCATCCACTGTATCATTTTTTGTTCATCTGTTACAGTTTCTTAACACAGAATCTGGAATTAGTTAAAGTGTAACTTTTATAACTCATTAACTACAGAAGAGTCACAAACCTGGTGAAACTAACAGTCATACAACAGCACTTAAAAAAAACCTCTCCATATTTGCAAACCCAGTAATCTCAGAAGGCAACAAATGCATGTGGATTTTAACAGAGATGTGGTAAAGATCCAGATTTGGAATCAGTGTTCAGTATTAACCCAGCCATTTTTCAGAATCCATAGTAAAATATTTGATTGCCAAATAGTGTATTTTACTTCAGAAGTCAGCAGAACACCACCACAGCCAGCAGAATACCACCACAGTAAATTCTGTAGGCTTATACTCATGCATATTAAATGTATTTTATTTTAGGAAAATTCTAAAATAACATCTTACCTTTAAAGTCATCTCTTGGGCCTTGCATTTCCTTCTTGTTCATTTTTCTGTCAGTGCAGGAATTGTTATGGGCACCTTTGGAATTGTTTTCTAGGTAAGCTGAGCTCGTTCCTTTCTTGGAGGGATGAGGATCACAGAGTTTTGCATTAATCTTATAAAGCTCGAGGGCCTTAATGGCTGCTGCATTGTTATCCATACGGAGAAAAGTTGGACAGGAAGCACAAAATTCATTCGTGCAGGCTTCATTTCCACAGCCCTCAGTTAACTGGTGGTAGTAGCGCTCTATTAGATGCTTTGCAGCTGCTCGCTTCCTGTAGCAAACATTCAAACAGTAAGTACAAGGATTAGTAGAGCTTTCACATACAAAGCTCATTCAAAAGCATCAGCAAGGCAGAGATTAGTCAGGCACTGAAACACAAGATTTCTGTATCAGAGAGGACACATCAGGAAATTTTTTAAATGCGGTATTCTCATCTTGACAAATGCAAATACATTTAACACAATTTAATTTGTGGGTCCTATGCGAGAGGTAAATCCTGTTTATGCACACTTTTCAGCTTTACATTCTAGTGTTATAGTGGACACAATCTTGTTCAGTTCTGAACAATCTCAATTGTCACCAAAAAAGACAGCAATTTAGATGCAAAGCAAGGCTGCAAGTGAAACAGAACTGGATCTCATACAGGTGATTGAGTCTGATGTATAGTACTGAGGTATGGGTGCCATTGACAGAGGGAAGAGGCATGAAATACAAATGATCCAGGCATTTGTTTAGTAATACTATCAATACTACACCAAGAGGATATAAACCCTTTAAAAATTAAACCTTTTTTTAATCAAGATTCCAGATGACTAAGTTATCAGATATTTAGTCTATTTAAACCTGTAGAAAAAAATATTCCTTAAACTGACAACAAAATCATGATTAAAGATGAGCTCAAGGCTGAATATCTCTCTCCCCCACTTAATAAGGTATATGGTTCTCAAAAAAGAAGTTATTTGCCAAATCCTCCCCTTTCTCCTGCAATTATACATAGCAAGCATATATTTTGAAGAATTACAACTGTATTGCTATACAAGTCAATATGTTCATTTGCTCAGTACTATAAATACACACACAAGAAAAATTTAACTGGCCAATTAGTAAGGTCACAGACTTTTACAGAAACAGGCAAATGGTAAAGAAGTCACTGGAAAGCTGCAGGTAGTTGGGACAGAAGAAGCTGCATGCAGCACCAAGAGCACCGTATTTCACATTTTGGAAAGAAACCCCCAAAACTTCACTTCATTTAAGGAAACAAGTTATTAACAAAAAATATCAACTATGAAACATTTAAAACATTTTGATTAGGTGTAACATGCAGGCTTTTTACCTAACTAGTAATACAGTACTACAGAGATTAGAACCTGTGAAGCAAGATTTTAATCAGAAATTGTAATATTAAAGGTGCCTTTTCAGATGTTGATGCATGCACAGATTCTGCACAGAACAAGTACTTGAGACCTGACGTGCTAGACCCACTGGTACTACTCAGCACTTGCTGCACCTAGCTGTTAATATTGTTAAGTATCAGAGTTTCAGTGCAGTTGCTTCAGAAGCAAAAATGTCCTCAAGTTCTGAAAGTAACTATTGAAGCGTATATTATTCAGCAAGAACCCCTTTGTTCCTTCCTTTTCACTCTTCGATATCTCATGATCCTAGAGAAGAAAATATATCTCAAAGAAAACCATTACCTCAGTGTCTACCTGACCTTCCAAATGACCCAGTGAGTTCCAAGATGGAAAAAAAAAAAAAAAATTGAAGAGAAAGGTTTCCCTGGCACCTTGAGACAGAGGTGGAAGACCATAAAAAAAAGAAATAGAGCAGCACCAGCAATACCATCAAAACCACTACTGTATAAACAAGGAACAGCTGTATTCTATTCAAAGGAAAAAGTTCTAGCCTCTCCAGTTTTTATATAAGTGGACTTTGGAAAACCTGCCTCTCTCCACATATGGATAAAAATATAAAGGTTTTTTTTGATCTTGTCTTTCGTACTTTAGCTTTTAGTATAGAGGCTTTAAAAAACTACTGTTTTTTTTAATACAACTTAGGCCAGTACATAATTTCACAGACATCTATTTCTGAATGCCAAGATTTCATGTTTTAATCATTCTTGGCTTTCAATCATTCCAGACCTTCAGATTTAGTGTGAAATATTATAATCTGTAAGCAGATAAGTATATAATGTGAAAGCCTTTCTTTGTTAATATTGAATTTTTACACCTGAGCTATGACCACCTGTCTCACCAACATGCTCCTTATTTATTCCTCTTGCAGCCTCTCCTATGCATTACCTTGATGCCTTCATGAAAGCTCTTTCCAAGTTGAAACTTACTGTTCCTTCAATTTTCTTCCCTTTCTCACTGACCATGTTTTCAACGATGCATATAAGCCAACAGTTATTGCATATACATATATTACCATTTTAACTTTATCCTTCCTCATTACCTTTTCCTTCCATCTTATTTCTCCACTGCTGTCTACATGTAGAGCACAGGTTTTTTGCCATAATTTTGGTGTTTTCTGACCTACGTAATACACCTACAAGTTACATGGATTATTTCTCACAGCTGTTTTAAGTGTGTGTGTGTGTATATATATATATACACACACACGGCATGTGTGTGTCTAACTAAAGCAGTTGGAGTTGTTATTCAGACTAAATATGTTGTGAAAAGCTGACCAATTTCTTAAGAGAGAACTTACTGTTTCAAACTGGAGAAACTGTTAGCCTTTAAGAGGCATGCACACCTTTCTAGTTTACATAACACATAGTTTGAATAAAGTTATTTCAATATATAAACACTGATATACTAACAACACATTTTATCACAAAGAATCATAGAATCACTTTGGTTGGAAAAGACCTTTGAGATCATCGAGTCCAACCTTTAACCTAACCCCGACATCCCACCACTAAACCATGTCCCTAAGCACCTCATCTATCCTTCTTTTAAATACCTCCAGGGGTGAGGACTCGACCACCTCTCTGGGCAGCCCATTCCAGAGCCTGACAACCCTTTTGGTGAAGAAGTTTTTCCTAAGGTCTAGCCTAAACCTGCCCTGGCGCAGCTTCAAACCATTCCCCCTCGTCCTATCGCCCGTTACCAGGGAGAAGAGGCCGACTCCCACCTCACGGCAGCCTCCTGTCAGGCAGTTGTAGAGGGCGATCAGGTCTCCCCTCAGCCTCCTCTTCTCCAGACTAAATAACCCCAGTTCCCTCAGCTGCTCCTTGTATGACTTGTGCTCCAGACCCCTCACCAGCTTGGTTGCTCTCCTCTGGACATGTTCCAGCAA